GCAAAAACACTTCCATAAACCACATACCGAGTTTTCGACTCAATCGAAGCTTTACAACATCTTACATATACAAAATCCTAATTTAATCCATTAATTCCTAAAATAATTCATATAATAAAAATCTAACTAATTAAACTTTAAATTAACTTCATAAATGATTAACCCAAAAAAATTAATCATAATGTAATCAATTAAAAATACTTAAATTATACTTTTCTCAAATGAGTCTCGAAACTCTAACTTCACAAACCTTAGCTCAAATGACAAACCCATCATAATCCAACCTCGGAATCAGCAAAAACCATCTAAGAATACATCAAATAACCAAAAATCATAGTAAAAAACCATACCCTTTTTTTTTTTTTTTTTGTGGTTTCGAATTTCAAACTCAAGAACACCAACTCTTCAAACTTCAATCTTGCTTACTATCAACTTGGATCATCATAAACTAACATAATCTAATATCTTTTGATGGTGGAATAAGTAAGAAATAGGTGAGAGATAGTGGAGATGAAGTGGGAGAGTTAAGGTTTGAGACGGAGAGCAATATGAATGAAGAAACATAGAAAATAATCAATTCCTTTTTTTTCCCCTTCCTTTAAAACAAAGGCCTTAAAAAAATGACACATTAATTCACCTTAAAAACTCACTTCATCATCACTTCTACACTTTCATTTAAGACTCAAAATTTCGTTACTATGATCCATCTCAATTAATAAATTTAATGAAACTTAACTAACTCCATTACCTCATTTTTTCTTAACATCAAAACACATTTAATCTAAAACACGTCACATAATAAAAATAATTCAAAGATATCAATCACATGCATAAACACAAGAATGACATTAAGACACACACACACACAACAATACACATGCATAATTTGAAGAAAAAAAAAACACTCGGGTGTTACATTCGATGAGCCTCGGACCCGACATGTTGAATAAAAAATGAAATATATGATATATTTAGTGCATGTATAAGGTAGATATGAGAAAATAAAAAAGAAAAATTAGAAGAAAAAAAAAACAAAGAGAGAGAAATGTGAGATATAAAATGGTTTACCACCGAGTAGTTTTTTGTTGAAACAAGAAGTTAAATATATGAAAATATAGTTTCTCTCTCAAATTTAAGTTTTTAAATTTATCTTTACTGATACAAGTTACAAGGTATACTCGTTATTTTTAAAAACAAAAAATTAATGAACTTTTAATAAGAATTTGGTGGAAATGATAAAATGAGATATATGAGTTTTTTTTTTTTTTTTATGTATAAGGTAGGTATGAGAAAACAAAAATAGTATAAAAAAATAAAAGAAGAGAAAAGAAAGTACATGAAAATGTGAGATATAAAACAATTATCTATTTTATAGTTTTTGTCCTCTATTTTGCAGTTTTTCCTTCATTCAACAGTTTTTAAACATAAAGAGTGGTTTCTTCAATTATCTTAACATTGGATTATACAAATTAAACATATATTTTGTATTTTTACCAAAGGGTAGGTAGAGATGTTTTGTAATTTGTAACCTCAACACTTCTAACTCACGGCATACGAAACACAAGCTCATAGAAGTTAATACATATAACTATTTTGTAGTTTTTTTTTAAACAAGTTAAAAATATGAAAATATATTTTGTCCTCTCAAAATTAAGATTTTTAAATTGTGACCATTGATACAAATTATCATGTATATTATTATTTATTTTAATTAATGAATTGTTTGATAACAATTTAGTCAAAATGTTAAAACAAGATATGTTATATTTTCAGTATCTATAAGGTAAAATGAGAAAAATATATAGAATTAAAAAAATTTAAATATTAGATACAAAATAGTTACCAATTTTATAGTGTTTTCTTTATTTCAACAATACGGAAAGAGTAGTTTCTCCAATTATCTTAACGTTAGATCATATATATATATATATATAAACAAGAAGTTAAAAATATGAAAATGTAATTTTTGCTCTTAAATATAAATTTTAAAATTTATTTCTAGTCATACAAGCTATAAAGTATATTATTATTTATTTTAATTGACTAAAATTTTAATAATAATTTAATCACACTGATAAATGATACATGTGCATCTTTTGTTTATGTATAAGGTAGATATAAGAAAATAAAAGAAGTAAAAATTTAAAAAAAAAAAAAAAAGTGAGCAAAAGATTACCTATTTTGAAGTTTTTATCCTCTATTTTGCCCTTTTCCCCGTCATTCAACAGTTTTTTTCCGCTTGAAGAGCAATTTCTCCGATTATCTTAATATTAGATTATACTAAATAGACATATACTTTGTATCGTTACCAAAATTAGGTCCAGACACTTTGTAGTTTTTAACGTCAATCTTCCAACTCATTGAATACAAAGCACAAACTCATAGAGTTAAAACATATAAAAATCTATATATTTTTTTCTTTATTATTATTACTGAAACAAGAAGTTAAAGTATAAAAATATGTTTTTTTTTTTTGTCTCAAATTTAAGTTTTAAAATTTATGTCCACTAATACAAGTTATGAGATATATAATCATTTACTTTAACTAAAGGTCTCTTTAATAATAATTTGGTCCAAATAATAAAATGATTCATATGACGTACTTTGTGTATGTTTAAGTTAGATATTAAAAAAAAAAATTAAAATTAAAAAAATGAAAATTTAAGATACAAAACAAATACTCATTTTGCAATTTTTATTCTCTATTTTGCAATTTTCTCTCATTCAGCTGTTTTTTATTTTTCACACAAAGAGTATTTTTTCCAATTATTTTAATGTAGATTATACTAAATAAATATATATCTTTTGTATCTTTATCAAAGGCTAGGTCCAAAGAGTTTGTAATTTTTAACCTCAATCTTTCTAACTCACATCATACGAAACTAGGAGTTAAGGCATAAAAAATATAAAGCTTTTTGTTGAAACAAGAAGTAATATATATATATATATATATATATATATACTATGAAAATGTAGTTTTTAATTTCTATCAAATTTATGTTTTTAAAATTATATCCATTGATACAAACTCCAAGATATATTATTACTTATTTTAATTAACTGTTTTTATTAATAGTAATTTGGTCTAAATGATAAAATGAGATATATGCATATTTTGTGTATATATAAGATAGATATGACAAAAAAGTGAACATCACATCATGTCCTTATATTATTTAATATTTTTTATTTTAATCCTTCTACTCAGGTATGGTACAAAATAAACCATAAATTGCTCAAAATTAGAACAAATTAGTCATTCCATCCATCTCTATTGAGCACTTATCATCATATAATTGGTTAGAAATTAGATGAAAGAGTTGGTTTATTCCAATTTTGAGTACTACAATATTTATTTGGTATCATACTTGGTAGGGCGATTAAAATGAATAATATTGAATAATGCATGGGCGTGAGATGTATTTTACCTTATGAGGAAACAAAAGAAGTTAAAAAAAAAAAAAAATTAAAATGTGAGATACAAAGCAGTTATCCATTTTGCAGTTTTTATCTTCTATTTTACAAACTTTTCCCTTCATTCAACCCTTTTTCCATACAAAGAGCCATTTCTTCAATTATCTTAATGTTGGATTATACTAAATAAACATATACTTCCAATCTTTGCCAAATCTTAAAATGAGATATATGCATATTTTGTGTCTCTATAAGGTAGATATGATATGAGAAAACAAAAGAAGTAAAATTGAAAAAAAAAATGAAAATGTGAAAGTGAATTACAAAATGATTACCCATTTTATAGTTTTTAATCTCCAATTTTATAGTTTCTTCCCCTTCATTCAATATTTTTTTTTACCATACGAAGACTAATTTCTCCAATTATCTTAATGTTGAATTATACTAAATAAACATATATTTTGTATCTTTACCAAAGGCTTGGTAGATAGGTTTTGTAATTTTTATCCCTAACCTTTCTAACTCACTGCATACAAAGCACAAGCTCATGGGAGTGAAGACATTAAAAAATATGTTTTTTTTGTTTTTAAACAAAAAGTTAAAGATATGAAAATATAGTTTTTTCCTATCAAATTTATTAAGTTCTTAAATTTATTTTCACCGTTCAAGTTATAAGATATATTATTATGTTTTTTAATTAACTATTTTTTAAAAAAATATTTTGATTGAAATGATAAAATAAAATATATGACATATTTTGTGTTACGTTTATGTTAAAATAAAGAATTAAAAAAACATCAACACGTGAGATACAGAACAATTATATATTTAGCTTCTTCTTTTTTTTTCTTTTTTTTTTTTGGGCAATTTTTTCCTTCATTCGATACTTTCTTCACAAAAAAAAAAAAAAAAGAAAAAAAAAGAAAAAAAGAAAGAAAAACCAGTTTTTCCAATTATCCTAACGTTACATTATATTAAAGAAACTTTTTAGCCATCTTGTATTTTCTATGGCATATTTTACAGTTTTTTACTTTAGTTCATAGCTTTCAACACAAAAAGCAGTTTCACGAAAAAAATAAAATAATTGAAGAAATATTTTAATAAACAATAATTTTAATTGAAATTAATTTTATAATGATCATGCCCTTAAAAAATATGTTCCCTTAAAAAATATGTTTTCTCTTTTAAAAATTTAAATAAATTATTATTTTGATATGTAATTTTATTCATTATTTTTAATTAATGTTTACGTATAATTCTTAACTATAATGACCTTGCTTTCTTTATTTGAATTTTTGTTCATTGAAAAAATAAGATGATTTTTTAAATAAAATAAAAAATCAATACGATAAAAAAAATTTTAAAAAAAATTAACAATCTTTCTCAAAAACAAAAAATTGTAAACTACAGTGAGTCTCTCCATAGGTCCTTTATGTTTCCTATAAGTCTTCTTACTTATCTTCTATGAGAGTTTTGGGTTGTTCGTGTCTCGCTGATCTGTGTTTTTTACCCACGTATACAGATGGTTGTAATTGCATCGATTACAACTTCTAGATCATATGGATTTTGAGCAAATCGAAAGAAAAATGAACAAATGGGCTCAGGGTCAAATCTGTAGGAGGAAACATGTCAAAGTTTATCAGATGATGTCCTGAAAATTACTAGGTACATTATATAGATTTAAGCTGCTAATTGACTTCTCGAATTAGATTGGAATGATGATCCGTTTGGGGTCAAATCCAAACTCAAGTATGAAAGACTTCCCAAATTCGGTTACACTTGCAGTAGATTGGGCAACACTAGTTTGATACCAACAACCAAGACGACCAGGAACTTCGAATGAACAGATATGGGGAATGGCTAAAAGCTTCACCTAAGAGACTGTTGTATCTGTTAATACTGACCTCTTTAGTTTGAGGGTCAATGGCATTAGACAGGTTCTACAGCACCAACCACCTCAGCCTAGCTAGCCCACTCGCTCACCCTAGCCCAAAACACCCAAGAGCCTCAGCCACTCAGCACACAAACAAAGCCATGCCAACTGGCCCTCCTCGTCTACAAAAACAACCACTTCTCTCAGCCGGCTAGCCCACCTATTCAGTAAGCCCACTCACTTATCCTAGCCCGGAAAGCCCAACTACTCCAGTCTGCCAACCCACCCATGTAACCCAAAGACACAACTAAAAGTTGCTAGCCCATCTCTTTCTCAGTCCCCTACAACCCAGCTCACCACTCAACCCCGCTATAGAATATCCTAGCCCAGCAAAACAAAATAACAGTCACCCAACCCATCCCATATAGCTTAGTGACACATAATCCTTGTGCCTCCTTCTCAGCCACACACACCTCCACCCAGAAACCTTCAACCTTTCGCGACTTCTATTATTCCAAACCCTAACCCACGTCTGGGCACTTGGAAGAAGCTAGCAAGAGAAGCTCACCCTTCCCCTAAAGAAAACTTGTCGCTATCCACAGGTAAACACAAAGCAAAACAGCAAGCATCAGATGACATAGAGTCCGATTATGATCTTGTCCCCAAAAGGTGTACAGAGGCTTCTCCTCCAGAGAAAGAAGCGGCTGTTTGCCAGCGTCGCTAGATGCGAACCAAGCTATTGCATAATACAATAGAAAACCATTGTCAACGACTACAAACCATTGCATAATATATTATATAAACTGTTACATTAAATGATTTAAACCATTGCATAACATATGCTAATAACCATTGCATATATTGTAAAAGCCGCTACATACGGTTTGACTTACACAAATGTTATATCATTCTCTAAATCGCCACCTAAAGTAACAAGGAAACTGCTGCAATTGAGAGATATCATGTAACGAAACGTGTTTTGTTGTTATTGTTTATGGAAAACCGCTGTATTGATCTATTGTAGAACCAATTAGACGTAACAGCTGAAAAACCGTTACATTAGAGGCAATGTAGTAGTTTTATATTATTTTGCAACGGTTTTAAACCGCTGCATAAGGTTTTATATGTGATAGTGAACAATCATACATATTTTCAATTTCTCATATTAAATGGTAAATTGAATCATATGAGCAGTGAAAATATAAAATGATCATAAACATTCATTATTTCATAACAAGCATTTTATATTTTTTTCAAACAACAATTTCAAATTAAGAAATTATTTGTTAAATATTATGAATTAATAAATATTTACACTTATAACATCCTAAACACTCTTTTATTATTTTGCGACCTTAAAAATCACTATATTTATAATGTTTTGAAGTCACTATAACAAGTCCCCAAACACATGCCTAAAAAAAATATAATAAACACAAAAGAAAACTCAATAACATGGAAATAATCCAACAATTTGAGATGATGTTAAAAATAAAAAATAATAAAATAATAAAAAAGGCGTTAGATCCGGATTTTACGATCCTGGTTTTATTAGGATCTTACACGAAAACGATTTTTCATGGGATTTGAATCATGTTATTTGGGTCCTAAAATCTTAGGATTTTATTATTTGAATTGGGAATTTAATAACCATGTTCATATACCTAGTTGATTTATGAATACCGACTTATACAAGTGCTGGGCTCTACCCAAGAGGAATTGCAACTTGGACCATGGCAGATGCAGTCATCAACACTTATGGCCCATAAGCTGACCTATTCTTTCAATAGGGATATTGTAACTTAGGCCTGCAGGATACGCCCGTATAATTACTTAAACATGAAGTGGGCTCAGGCATGTTGATCTCCTGCCTTGATAGGCAACGATTTTATCTTAACCCTACAAAGATATAGGTATCAGCATTCCATTCCGGATGAAAGGCTAAATCCTCATTTTGGTTTAAAATTTTAATCCTTGTTACAGATACCACAAATGCACTTAAACTAATCATCCCTAACCCTAGCCAACTTTAGTTTTAAGCCTCCATGATATATATATTAGACGGAGCGCCTGATAAATAATAGTATAAAAAAATTGAAAAGCAAAGTTAGTGGACACCATGAACTTAAAAAAAGAAGCAAAGGGCAGACAGACATTCCACCCAAGAAGCCATTCAGTGCAGCGATCCTTAACGCTGAAAACTGTGGTCAAACTTGCCCTTCTATGTCTATAATTAATATTTAATGTTATATCATATCACCTTCACATGAATTAATTATTGATCTTCTTATCCTTTGAAAAATAAAATTTCACAGATCCCCTTTTCCTAGTTTTCCGCCTAGTGGGAGTACTGGCTAGCACGTTGCATGCAGAGGTTACTATTAAGAACAAAGCAACTGGACACTATACGTTCTCATCCAAGAAATAAGATAAATTCTATCAGGAGGCCATTTTTCGAATTTAAATTTGATTAATTGGGGATGCTTGAATGCAGGCCGTTCTGTTCAAAAAATTAGATTAATATATTTCAGCAATTCAACTAAACAAGGTATGTAATATGATATAATAAGATATACTTTAAAAATATCTTCGCTATCCCCCCCCAAAAAAAAAAACTTTAATAATAAAGAAAAAAATGAATCATCAAATAAACTTGTAAGAAAAAAATAGAGATAGAAATCGATAAATCTCAGATAACTTAAACTAAGGTCTAAGGAGTTAATTTCAAATATAGTACAGTGTTAAAACTTGTGATTTTTAAAGAACGAATTCAAACCATATGGAATCATCTACTTTTAGGAAATCCGAACTTGCAAAATCGGAAACGATAGCTTCCAAATAATACAACAAAGTTAATGTTTTCTTAATGAAAAATAGTAATTTTACTAATTATCGCTACCCGACGTCGGACGGGACTCCCAAAAAAAAAAAATCTAAAGGATATCACCTGGTTTCAAATCTTTATTTTATTTATAAGACTATTTGCGAGTTTGGAGTCGCCACCTAGTATTGAAGGAACTAGGAACCTAAAATTAGCACTGGTTCGGAGATTCTATGGTAAGGAGTCGGTTACGCTTATGGGAAGATAATTAATCACCCAAAAGTGCCATTTCCTAAGAAAGGTACCACATCTAGCTTAGTCCTAAATTATCTCCAAAAATATTTTATTTTTTTGCCAAATTATTTTTCAATTTTTGAGACTCCAATTTTTCAAGTCAAATTAAGTTTTTTATTTTGGAGCGTGGCATCGTATTGAAACGATCGTCGGACCCCTTCCGTCGGGAGACACGTCGGTTCAAACATCGGATCCACTTTTTAGTCTCGACACAACCGATGTGCCGGAGAACACTTGTTTATTAGAAAACCTTTTTTTTTTTTTTTGACTAACAACGATCCCTATCGGATACGAGATTTTTTTAAAAAAAAGTTTTATGATTTTTTTTGTTATTTTTCTTTCTTTTATTTTATTATTATATTTATTTTATTTTATTTTATTTTTATTTATTTCTTTTTAAGAAGGGTTATCATCAATCCCTAAAACTTAGGAGACTTGACAATCTTCTACTTATTACTTACCGAACCTAATTACTAAACAACTAAATTAAAGCTACATGAATTAAATAAAAGAAATCAAATACCGAAATTTAAATTAGTAACGAGCATACATAAAATGAATTTCAGATTAAAAATTACATTAATTAAAATAATAAAACCAATTCAATAGCTAATTTTAATATGAAATAAAAAAATCCCTATAAAAAAATTCACTTTTTTTCTTACTTTTTTTTTTTTGGTCGTCCAGCCGAATTTCTCTCGCTTTTTTTTTTTGTTTGCGGACTGGACCGAAATTTCAGTCCAGCCCATTAACCCGTGGGTTGGGCCACCTAACCCACACCATTTAAAAAAAAAAAAAAACCAAACCCAAAACCCATTTCAGACATAACTTAAGATCAAAAGCCCCTTTTTCTTTTTTTTTTTTTAATTTTCCCTTTTCTCCTCTCTCTTTCCCGTTTCTCTTTCTTCTTCTTCTTCTTCTTCTTCTTCTTCTTCCCTTCTCTCTACCCGATTGCCATGGACGAACCGAGTTCGTCCCTATTTTTTTCGTTTTCTTTCGTTTTCTTCTCTTCCTCCTTTCCCGCACCCCTCTCTTCTTTCTTTTCCTTCCCTTTCTCCTTTCTCTCCCTTTCCCGTCTCTCTTTTTTTTTGTAACATGTTGCTTGCTGCCATGGACGAACCAGTGGAGGTTCGTCCATGGCAGCCTTGATTTTCCCTTTTCTTTCTTTCTTCTCCCCTTTCTTTCCTTCTTTCCCTCGCTCAAACAAAAACCCCCAAATCAATTTCTAAAAATTCTCCCCAATTCCGACCGAACCCTAATTTTTCAATTCTTCAAATTTTCATGCGATATTGCCTTGATTAGGTTGAAATCAAGTTAATTCACACCCTTTAGGACTCAATTTTATCAAAACCCCCAAATCTATTCTTCAAATTTTTACAATTTCGAAAAAATCCCAAACTTTAAATCGGACTTAAATTGAAACAAAAAATGAAATTTAAGAGAAATTAGAGGGATTACCTAAAAGAATTGGTTGGAATGGATGTGGATTGCCTTCAATTCGGGTAACTTTAATTTCTTTTTTTTTTCTGGATTTTCTCTCTTTTTCTTTACTACCGATTTCCTCTTTTTTTTTTTCAATCGCTAACTCTCTCCTAATTTTGCAGGCTTCACTCTTAATTAATGTGTTCTTGGCTATCGGACTAAAGAAAAAAAAAATCCCCCCTTCCTTCTCTCTATTTTTCCATTATCGTCCGTGTGTGTATATATATGTGAATGTGGCTTGGTTGGTTCCCCCACTATGATGGTGGGGGATTTTCTGCGAGTTTTCTAGAGTGGGCGTGTCCGACCATTTTTTGGTCCTAAGGGATGGCTATGGCGAGTGCTGGTAAGGGGAAGGTAGTGCGATTGCTTGCAATTTGCGGCATGGTGAGGTTACGGGAATTGGGGGATTGCCCCGGAGATTGCTAGATATGGGGGAAGTTGTCCGGAGGGGCTATGGGAGTTGTGTGGTCGAAGCAATGAGGCTACTGCTGGAGGCACTATGGAGGTTGTGTGGTGATGCGATTGCTAGAATTTGCGAGCGAGAAGGTGGTCGGTAGGTAGAGGGTGCCGAAATTGTTGACTTGAGAGGAGTTGAGCGTACTGCAAGTTGAAAATTTTTTCTTTTGTTTTGTATTTTTGTATTTTATTTTATTTTTTGTAATTTTGTTATGAATTCTAAATAAATAAATAAAAGAAATATATATATATATATATATATATATATATATATATATATATATATATATATATATATGTATGTATGTATTTTTTTTTTGTCTTGATTTTATACAAAGCAAGCCTAAATTTACATAATGAAAATAAAATACAGAACACAAAAAATAATACACAAAGGTAAAATTTTAGGGTATAACGGTTGCCCCTCTTTGCAATGCTTACGATGCAAACATTAACCGAAATATAAATTTTAAGTTGAGTTTGTTTAGTGAGCTTGCAAAGAAGAAAATATGAGAAAAATAAATTAAAATCTACTAAAATGACTTAGTTGGAGACGGAATGTCATGCGGAAATGCAATGAATTATGAAAACGAGTGCAATGACCTTGTTGTTAAGGGCGACCTACTCGAAAATTAAACATGCGATATTATCAA